TACAGCTCTGCTATCACTTCCGACATAAATGCAGACAGAAATACTAAACAGCAGTGACTTTTGTAGGGTTACTGAAGTTGGACTAGCTGGTATATAATGATGTGCTATGTGATCGCAAGCGACACAGCTATGTTAGCATATGTTAGCATAACACAGTAAAGCTAACCTTTTTCCACTTGATAAAAGTGCAGTGATGCCTTCAGAAACACGAGGGTTGATATCATGACAGCAGCGTCTTTGTTTTAATGAAAGGCTAAAAAACAGATGGATTGCACTTTTTCCACTTGATAAAAGTGGAAAAAGTGCAGTCCATCAGGAATCCTCCTGATGGTTATGGACATATGGCAGGATGGACCATGTATATGAACCAAACTTCAGTCAGGAGAACAACTGAGATAAACCATCCACAATATGAGGTTAGTCATTGATATACTGCAACAACAAGGGAATAGAGCTGCTGCGTGAGAATTCAACATTGATTTGGACAGTTTTGCAGTGTGGGTGGTCCCCCAGGCGTCTACTGGATTTTCTTCCTGGACCTAATTAAAGAAAACTGAGAGGAAAGCCCAAGCCCAAGCAAAATTGAAATTCAGTACGCCCTGGACCTAAGACCAAAGCTGCATGATGGGTAGGTTATCAACCAGAAAATACGGTCAGGGCTAGGATTGTCAGCAGCACCTGTACAATGCTCAGACAAAGTGGGACAAAGTGCTTTTTTTGCTTTCTTCTTTCAGCTCAAAGTTTCTTTCCAAATCGCCCACTTGCCGTGTGATCACATGGCATGCTGGACATGAGGGTGATAAAAGATTGCTACAGTGCTTGGTGTAGCCCTGAAGTTCTGGTAAAGACAGACGGGTCTATATGGGTCAGTGAGCTCCTGGACCGGTTAGGCACTGCTTGTTTTTTTTTTATTATGCTGGATTTGACCAAGAGATATTAAAACTAGAGACTAAGAGAGACTAAGAAAAAAACATCCTTCTCACACCATGCAAATTCTACCAATTCGTCACGCTCACTTTCAGCTTGCTTGGATCCCCAGTCCCTTTCCAGCGCCTCATGTACAGAGTGCACCTGCTGCACTCTGTACATGTTGCCACCTATCTGGTGGTGTATGATGCTATCATCCATAGTGGCAGGTTAGGTCTGACGGCTCTTGGGCCTAAGTCAGGTGGTGGAAGTATGTGACAGGTTGTGATCTGCTGCTTTTAGTTGAAGATGCCTTCTCTATTTCAGTAGTCTGCTGGGACTGGTTGAAAGAGGAGCACTGAGTTGAGTTGGAGTGGCTGCAAAGGAGTAGGTTGCGCCAAGGAGTTGAGATTCCTACAGTAGCTGGCACCAAAAACACAAGTGACGTCTCCCTTTTGTGTCGGAATAAGTCCTTCAGTAACATTGGACTTGCTATAAAGTGGTTGGAGACTTTAAAACATTACAGGATCAAATATGATAATACTGTTGACATAACTATTGGGTTTGTGCATAACAGAGGTATTTCAATTGGTAGCATCAAGTTAATGGTGTAAGCCATCATTTTTAATTGGATGATAAAAATACAATTACAAAATGATTGTGCTGCAGAAGTTTAACTGTCTCACAAGCATGTCTGTGTAATTTTTATATAAAATTCACATTTAAAATAGGTTGCTTCTTGCCTTTCCCTTTCTTGCATTTGTTGAACAGGACAGTACAGTACAGTATACATTGTTGTTGTTCTCTAGTTTAAATGGCTGTACAGTATATTATTGTCCGTCACTTAATGATCACCTGTTGCAGCTTCTCTGTTTGCTCCTCTGCTGTGCGTCAGAAGTGGTTCATAAACTTTCCACTAAATCATCACCGCGCTGAAGGCAGCCAGCAGGAATTTCACAGGTTATCTTTGTGCTCAAAGATACAATGCCATGCCAGAAGGCAAGGACGAGGGGAGAAGCAAGTGGACATCTGACTTCTAGAAGTTCTGGTCTCCACACGGCTTATTTTCAGCTAATCTTTATTATTCATTTTTATTTAATTTCATATTTGTGGTCAACAGTGACCATTATTAACCCACACCCAACTTCGATTGTCTCAGTGGATGCCCAAAGTTCTGTTTAGGATGTTCACTGGTATTTTCTATGAGTACTATTGGAAAGTGCATAAACCATTCATAAGATACATGTAAAATGTTTTGTGAAAAATAGTTATTGTTTTTTCACCCAACTTCATTGTCTCCCTATTTGCTTACCTGGTTCTTCATGCTCTTTTTACACCCCCTCTGTGCGCCACAATCACACATTGGCTTTTTAATTAGATGTTCACTGTTCACTGTCTTAACAGTTTCTTTTTGCTCTCTTTCTCTGACACATCCTGACTTGAAGTCACCTGGAACTGAAGCTGTAATGTAAACACATAATGAAGCCTAATTAGCCTAGAAAAGCAAAAGAAATTTTAAACACACCAAACTAATGAAGTAGACCAACTCTTTGGCTCTAGCAACTAAACATGTCCAAAGACCAGCATTTCAGAAGGTTCAGGTTAAGGTAGTTAAGTCACAGGTTAAGTCACAGCAATGTCCCCACATTCTCAGAACAGTTTGCACTTTTGCTATGTTTCAGCTAAAGTGTGTTTTATCTGCGCCACTGATTTGTGTCATCAAATTACTTTTTTGTCTTCTTTCTATTGCAGCAACTAAAGTCTTCCTTACTGAAGACATCAAGAGTACCCGACAAGCACCGACTCCAGTTAAACATGTTTTCATTTTGTCCTTTCTGCAGTTGACGAGTCAGAGAATAACCCTTGTCCAATTTCATCATCCACGATTAAAAAGAACTATAGAAACAGTACTAATAATTCATTGTATTTTAGTGGTAATACAGTCAGGTAAATGCATTATGGGAAGAGGTAGGGTTTTCATTACCCATCCTAAATTGGGTAAATTGATTTTAAAGTTTGACAAGTACCATCAGTTACTATTCATTTATGTAAACAATACACACTAATACTGCAGTCGAACTTTAATTATATTTAGAATTTAATTGTTTATTAAATTTTCCTATTTAGTTTCAAATGCTTTGTTCATCTGGGTCCTCCAGCTCTGCTTCTGCTATCTAAATCAGGTGGGTTGTAACATGATACAGAAGGTAGCAGCCAACAGGACGACAAAGCCAAAAATATCACACTCGTTCAAAGTGGGTACATTTGTTTAATCAGACCAGACAAACTACATGCCAAAATGTTATAGTTTGCTAATATTTCATGTGGTTAATACAGCAAAAAATTTTGAAGTATTTTTTTCTGATTTCATAAAATTAGATTAAAATAACATTAAGATCAATGAATTTACAATTAACTAGTTGTTTCTGATTAATATCATTTTTGCTAGCATCAATTAACATGTTCAAATCTACTGATTGACTGAAGTATAATTTCATTTGTGTGTGCTGATAGCTGATAGCATGTAATAGATCGCATACTATCTATTACATGTCCCCAGGTGTTTTGATCTCCCTGCTTTCATCTGTAAAAAGCACCATTAGTAGATTCTGGTACTTGGTTAATAGCAGTTGGACTACATAGAATTGGGCAGTGAGCACAGAGCCCACCAGAGGATGTTGGGCCCTCAGTTTGTTTCTGATTTTGGTCAGAGACACTCACACCAGCGGTTTGGGGGTCATTTAGTAGCTCTGGTAGTGCTCATCCTGTTCCTCCTTGCACGGAGTAGAGAAGATAATGGTCCTGCTGATGGGTTAAGAACCATCTACAACCCTGTCCAGCTCTCCTACAGTAACTGCTTGTCTGCTGGAATCGCCTCAATACTCTTGAGACACACAACAAACCTTGACACCTGAAAACCTCACCTTTAAAACATCCCTGTTTTGTGGGTTGTCTCATTGTTGCCCCTCTAGTGCAGCTGTTATTAATTTCATTACCACCAAACGCATCAATGGTTTAAACTTGTTAACATTTCTTATCCACTGACAGCTGCTGATGGCCTTGTGCTGGTGGAAAGCAATCTGTCAATATGTGAGAGAAATGTGTGAAGAAATGACAAAACAGTGAACTTTTGCTCATCTTTTTATTTCTTGATTAATATTCACATCACTAGTTAACAATTAACCACAATTAACATCTCTTTCATACCAAATATTCAGAATTGAAAGGGGAGATAAGCTCTATCTAATAGGACAGATACCTCTAACAACCAGCAGTTGGTTTGTTGTCTTCTGCATGCTCTTGCTATGGTGTTGCGCCCTACAAAGTAATACAGCACACACACACACTACAGTGGGTTTATTCTACAGTGCTGAAAAGTAGCTTCTTTTTGCCTGCTGCCTCACAGGTTGAGTAAGGGCAAGCAGAAGACCAGAATACAATACACACACTTGTAATTTTCCACTCCACTTGACATTTAAACAGCTGGAATACTGGTTTAATTGGTAGCTGCTGTATATATGGTAAAGGACAGAGGTAAAATCAGCTGCTTTTCAGTGCTGTGGTGCTGATGAGCCACTGCAGGTGGGAGACGTGGTTAGGGGCTCCAGATATATCTACCAACACTACTTTTGAAGTGTTTGAAACTTTGCTTCTGAAGCACTTTTCTGTTACTTTACAAAGAGGTTCAGAATGGTCTATTATTGTTGTTATTGACAGTGGGAAGATAATTTGGTCCATGACTTGCCTTAATTCAGTCCCGTGTTGGTAGATATGTCAAGGTGTCTACATAGGAGCTGTTTAATAAAGGGTATTACTTTCTGGTGGTGGTAGGCAGAAGAAAGGGCTCACCAGTGTGTGTCAGTGCAGTTCACACCAAATGTTGCCAATTCTGAGGAGTGTCCTCATGTTCTCTTTATGCAAAGCTTCTTCAGATCATATCTAAGTGGACACACACTGGTTCTCTTCCTGCCTGTCACTTTGAATCTGGTAAACAGTGTTTTCCATGTGTGAGCTATCTTCCAAAACAGAACAGAGACAAACCTCATACATGTATTCATAATCTTGCATCTTTAATACATTTTTAAAACATTCTTGAAACTTCAGCAGCCCTTTTCTTGATGGAAAAAAGGCAGACTCTGAAAAAAAAGTACACTTTTCCTTCCCTATGCTTTCAGTCTTACCAGAATGTCTTACCTCAACTCTAACTAGGTTTATGAACATAAATGCCCGTCTATCAACATCCACTACACCCTGTTAAGAAGTAAGATTTTTTTTTTCTTCTTTTTATTTCATTTGAACTAATTTGAGTTACACGCGGAGTGATAAAAACGTGATGGTGTCTATATACAGTGTGAAATACTAGTGGAAGGGTGGTATTTGAGTGCAATAACTGGGAGTTCAAACGGACATCAGAGTGAATCTGACTCTTACTTTCTGTCCAAGCTCCAAAGTAACATTAACTGTATCACACTCCTGATGACTGTAGTAAACACTGAGCACATTCCCATGGTTCTATTAAAACTTTACTAACTGAAGGGTCCATTGGGTTCCTTACTGAATATCCAAAGACAAGACTCAAATCACAAAAACCTCAGCTGGACTAGATTGCATTTTTGAAACTGATAAGAATATTTGAGCTCTTCAAATCTACACATTCTTTTCATTTATAAGATAAGGCCATATTATATATATGAATTAACATGTCTGCCTCTAAATTTTTCAGTAGGCTCCACCATCAATCTTTTTATCTGCTAACTTGGGAGCATTGATACAAGCATGTTTTAGGCTACTGTCTGGCTCATAATCAATGGTCCCAAAAAGCTGCTCCTAAAGAACTTTGTAAATTAACAGTCTTTTTTCACATTGAAAAGTTTGTGTATACTCATAAATACAAATAAAATTGTGTACAAATGCTGGTTGCCAGGGTGGAAAGCCTTAAATATTTTTGAATTTTTCTGTTGTTAACGAATTCTTTCTTTGATTTAATGTGTTGCAAAATAAAACAGGTTTAAAGTTCATAGCTTTAAAGAGGGTCTGTGGGGCTTTCCTGTATTTTCTGTCAATGTATATAACTTAACTTGAATAACATTATAATTGTATTACTTTAGAATATTTACCTTACAATAGAAAAAAATCGTGAGATTACTTTGTCCAAATCATAGGATCCGTCAATCAGAACAAAGCTGATTTAAAGGCTTGTTTCAGGTATAGGATGAAGTGAGGGACTGCACAAGCAAAAGACCAGCAAGCATTATTTTGAACTCTACTCTAGTCCAAGAATATAAATATGGAGCTCAACATGTTTATAAAAGGGCCATTTTAACAGTCTTGATTTCATAACATCAGCTTTTATTATTTAACACACTGTATGCTAACACTGAAACCTGTTCTTGACCAGAGATAGTTTTAAAGTCAGCGCTCTCAGAATAAATCAAACAAAGGGCCCACTGGCTCCTCCAAAAGGTCATTAAAGACCTTGAACGGACTACTTACAGAATGTTACTCTGCAGCTTGGCCAGAAAATAAGACGCAGGGAATGTTAACAGGAACAACATGAGAGCAGACTGGAGAGCTGAGCGTCAAATCATCGTAGCCAACAGTACAATGCCACAAAAATCCAGATCTAGACATACAACATCAGCTCATCCCACCAGATGTTCACGCATGGAGCTACACCTTACTTCTTATATATACACGATCCACAACCCAAAGTGCTTTCATACTTTTGTTCTTCTGCTCCAGAAGAAAGTTGGTTCACATCATTAATTTCACATATGACCCACGCATATGTCATGTAAGACATGTTACTTTTAGGCAACGCATGGGAATGATCTGGAGGGAACAACACAATATTCAATATTCTTAAATGGTGCTTTTAGTTGTCTTAATTGTTGACTATTTGATCACTTGCTCTTTGAATATTATAACGTCATCTAGCTACCAAAACTGTTTTGTTCCCAGAAGCACACATGTACAGTACACTGCTGACAATGTTTACCAACATACAGTGAAGCAACTTTAATATCACTTAAGTGCATCAATAAAATGAACAAGACTATGTTCAAGTGCACGAGACTTTAGAGTTTTCTGGGGAACTGTACATAATTTGTATGATTATGATAATATTTAGTGTTCCAGACACAATAATATAGTGATAGCTTGAATGAGGGCAGAATGGAAGCCTTCTGCAGCATCTCTAATAGTGACGTAAGCTTTTTCACTCAGCCTTTGTTAAGAGCCAGACTATCAGTGTTCCAGAGGCTAAGCAGCACTCTCTACAGGATGGATGCAGTAGTAACACTTCACACATCTGACAACTATGGGAGCACGCCACAGACATGTCACTAATCCCTCAGTGTTTTCAGCAGAGACCATCCCATCCCGGTAATACGGGGCCTGTCCATATTACCGGGCTGATACGGAGCGATGCTTTCAGTGTGCAAATCAAAGTCACATCACAGTGCTGGCTTATTAGAATCTAAACTGTACCTAAAACTGACATGTTTGATTTCTTAAGATAGCATCTGGAATTACAACAAAATGAGCACACTTGGCTTTCAGTTGATTATTTCCTATAAAGCATTAAGCCATTCAGGTTTTTTGTGTGTGTACTGTGATCCCGCGCATTATTTTTATAGCTTACACTCAGTGGGCCTCATTATAGTATCTGCAGGCTCCTCTCGGATGTGCTTGGCTGAAATACTGCTGCATTCATGGCATGTTGGAGCTGGGCAGTTCCCGCTGTCCAGTTTACTTTAAGAGTTTCAATTTTTACATTTTTTTTTAACTTTGAGGTTTTTACTTAAACAAAACTTTTTAAAAAAATCACACAAACTAAGCACTAAAGCAAAAAACCAAACAAGAACTATTTAGCTCCTTCTATTTACACTACAGTTGTAGGGTAAACTCATTTATACGCCAGAGAAGGCATTTCATCGTCTGCTACTGTGGGTAGTCACGGTGGCTAAATAGCGCTCAGTAAATTCAATCTACTAGACAGTCCAGTCTAGTATAAGTAAATCACTACAAAGGAAACTCTGATGTTAGATCAGCCATGAATACATTATTTCATTTACGCAATCTCTCTCCTCTCATAACTACTGGATAACATCAGTGGTTGTCTGTCCTTCTCTATCTGAACGCCCTGTGCATGTGCAGGTAACTGGAGGCTTTCCCTACACTGTATTGCTGTCAGAGAACTGGAGTGAGACACAGGTAGAGGTGACAGATGAGGAGGTGGTGCAATGAGGCGATGATACCATCATGAAAATGGTATAATAGGAACATCACACTGACACAGCTCATCACTATTTGAACACTATCTTCATGGACCACCAAAATAACAGACAGACAAAAAAAGAAAAACAATGAAGAGTTGCTTTGATTCCAGAACAGAGAAATGCTTTGTCGTCAGCACACCACCTTTTTTCGGTGGTGTGTCTATTTGTGTATGCACACCAGCAAGCATATGTGTGCTTTCCTGTATCAGTCTGTGCTTATGTGTGTGAGACTAAATGGTTTTATGGAGTGGGCTCTACAAAGCACCAGCAGGAGGGAGGATTTAACTAGAGATTGTTGGTCTGCAGCCCCAAACCCTCCACTGGGGTCAACCACATGACCAGGAAATGCCATACAAGCTCAGGGTGACTGCTGAGGTCCCTCATGATGGGTGCAGGTGAATGAGTGGGTGTGAAGGTTTGCAATCAGTGCAGAAGCCAAACAATGATGTTGATTTTAAGTGTAGTACCCTTCAAAGCTCAAATAATGACTTGTATGTCTTGAAATAGCTGTTGATTAAGCTAGTACTTGAATACCTTCATCATCCCAAAACAAAATATCCGCAGTGCTGATATATCAGACGACTTTGCAGAGGACTGATCTGCAACCTCATTTCCAAAAAGTTGGCCATGTGTAAAATGTAAATAAATGCAGAATGCAGTGCTTTGCAAAAGCCATTACATTTTTAACATCAGCAGGATTTTTCAAAAAAAGTTGGATCACCTTAAGGAACATTTTGTAATTGTTGAAAAATGTAAGTAAAACTTCTGCCACTATGGGGCAGTGTTTCACCAGTGAGCGTGTAGAAATGGCTTCAGGTGTGTAGAAATGTTCTTTTACCTTTTAAATGCCTTTACCCAAAGTGTTCTTAATTGCTCTCCTGGTTAAATAAAGCTAACAGTGACTCATTAAACCCTAGTTCAGCTTGAGTGAATATCTCAACAATATGCTTTCAAATGAACATTTTAACACCAAATGACATTTTAATGATCTACAAAGTCTTCTGCCTTTTTTGGGAAAAGAGGTTGCAAATCAAAGTATTCAACTTCCTCTGGAGAATGTGGACAGTATGTAACAGAAAGAAAAAGAATTGTACTCATTTATCTAAAGCAGAAGTTTTTGTTAGTATATCCTGATATATGAACAAATGTTAACAAATTCAAATGAGTTAATACTGCAGGTGGCCTGGAATATAGCAAGCAGAAAGCATGCTGTAGAGTTAGTCATCACAACAGCTCTCTGAGCTTCTACATTTTTTTATACTGTGCCAGAGATTGTGCCCTATAATTTCAATCAAGTAGTAAGAAAAGGAAAAAAAAAGCTCCCGAGCATACCGAGGTGAAATAAAAGCTGATGTTGAAAAACAGCTGGATCCCTACAGTAGCTTCCTCAGTTGAAAACTGCTTTGTTCTCTCAGCATTGGCAAGACGGCTTACTATTAGTCAGCAGTGAAAATTTGCAAGGAACCATTTGGCCTGTATGGACATGCCAACCATAGACCATCACACAGATTCCACTGGTCTACACTATAATGACTCTGAAATGGAGACATTTGATGTGCTGGTGTGACTGAATGTTTATAAAGAATCCTGTGACACTGTGATTGACACTGTCCATCATAAGTGCTACATTACATTATAGAGTGCATGTGTTCTGTGCCACTCTGTTTAATTTCAAGGTTTATTACCATCCTTCAATATCACTCATTCAGCTGGAATTTATATTCACTCCTTCAAGGTCAATTAGAGAGATCTTAACTTTAAAAACACTTGGCTCTGAGATCAAACACAGATTTTTTTGTGCCAAATCCTCTTTGAGCCGAAACCACCCAGAGTATCAGCAGAGCTCCTGTATCCTCCCTCTTGCTGCCTTCATAATGCACGAGTTACATCGCTGAATGATTTCAATTGTACTAAAACCATCTGACTTTTGAGAAGCTATTGCACTGGTTTTAAAATCCATCATCAGATTTGCTTCCAGACATCTCTCTTCATAGCCGCTCGAGACCAGATTCATTTTGTGCTCTTTGCAGCCACGACTACAAACATCATAATATTAAAATTCAAGGAATCATTATTGTGAAGAACTCTGAAGAGACAAACTGGTGCACTGATACCAAGAGAAGTAACGTGTGATGAATTGTAGACTGACCTGTAATGAGACGTCTGATGACCTACGAATGGTGCTGTTTTTGTTAGTTTGGTTTTTAAATGTCAAAGCCTGCCAGAGGGTCTAGAACAAAGCTCCATTACTGTGATCTGAGGCAACTGTTTTCACTAGTAGGGTGAACATTCTATGAGAAAAAGTGGCTATGGTCAAGATACTTAATAGAGCACTGATTGATTGATTGTGGGATTATTGCTTTGGGGTTGTTACATTTGGGCTTTAAGGTTGGAATGACCTTAGTCAGTGCTTACAAGGAAATGGCATCAGTGGAGAAGCTGGTGGAAACCTGCACAGAGAAACATGGACAAACAGCAATTACTTTTCTCTGTGGTAGGTGGGGCAACCCAAGGGTGACAAGGGGCCAAAGGTCAGAGTTGGTAGCAGGAAGCTGGCAGGCAGATCCCAGAGAAACACTGAGAGGCGATCGGTCAGTTCGGTGCTGCGGTGGGCAAGATGAAGGGCGGGATCAGAGGAAAGTGACTGCGCCGTGGTAGTTGGTTGGTAGTTGATTGGCAGGCCAGCGAGCGCCATGCGTGTCCCACCAAAATCTGCGGGTCATTGGGACTCAGTCTGAGGTGAGACAAGTTAAAGAAGAAAAACAGATGAAGCGCAAAACGAAGAGAAAATGATAGGATGAAAAACAAGTTTGTTGTTTTTATCAGCCTTACAGGCTCTAGCTGATGTCTGCTGTGAGCTCATATGAATTATGGGGCAAATGATCAAAATGACATTTTTAAAATTGTATTAGTGCTACAGCCATTCATCAATTAAGATGAGTTTAGCAACAGCAACAGTCTGTTGTCCCTCTGAACTCGGGGAGTCTGGAGACCAGCTGTGGTAAAGATGAATTTATCCACCATGACTGGCTCATCTTCACTTTGAAGGTCTCCTCATTATTTCATTTCATAATTTGGTAAAAAGGTGAGCTGGCTTCACTACTCTATCCGACATGTAAGCAGGGAGCGGGTATATGTGCTTATTCATTCATAAACACACACTATCTACATTATCTATTTTTAATTTACTCCTATCGTACATGTACCACTATTCATAATTTTTATTTTAGGGGTCTACAAGAATAGGTGTATATGCTTTAATGTTGAAAAACCCCATTACTGTTGTCATGCTGTAGCTTCCCTCTGTACTTCTTTTCACTTTTCAACAATAAAGCAATGTTGGTTCTCTACAAATCACCGACTCTTATAAAAGATGGATGTAGCCACTGTGGCATGACTTCCTTGTTAGTTTAAACATTCCATCTTGTTGTTTTGAAACTGGATGTGACCACTGTGAGAAAGATCTGAGGGAAACTACATGTTCATACTGTCTGAAAGGCCAACCTTCACCCTCTGCTTTTCATTAAAAGGACTGTAGGTTTGGGGGACTTCAACATTGGCTCCCAATGTTTATCTTTTAGATAGAATCTGGCAGAGACTTGTGATTGAGATGTTAGTACTATATATGACCACATATTCACTCTCTGGTTACACTAAAAGATATGAAAAGAATGATCAGTTTACATATATTTTGTTTTGAGCTGGGTTTTTCTCTGTCATCTTACTTACCAACCTAACCAGCTAATGTTACTGTTAGCTATTCATTTTGCCTGCTTGTCCAAATATAGTCATGCATATTTTAAAACCCCAGAAAGGCAAAGACCAAAATGCAATTTTCCTGTAGTTTTGAAGATATTGCCATAAAGATAATAGCAATCTTAAGTTCCTCAGATGCTGAAAGTGTATTAAGACTATTATTTTGCACCTGCAGGCAACAATCAAATTGTGTGCTATTCTGTGTTGATAGGCGAGATCTCTTAGTAAGTCAGCACAAGTGGCTCTGAGCAAATAACATCAGGCTTTCAGGCAGGTAGCCTAAGGTAGCCTTATCTAAAGCACTATCAAAATAGCTCAGGCAGAAATTATGCCTGGGTGGTACAAGGTGACACAGATAAATAACTAAAGAAAATCCTTGATTCAAAGCAAGGCATTTGCGGTTCAGTAGCAGTGTTATATCCACAGTATAAACAGAAACAGAGTGAATGCAACAGAATACACTACAATTGAGTTTTTGCAAATTCTCAGAGCAGTGACTTTCAAGCTACATATTGCTAATAAGTGACACAGTAGGCCATTTAAGCTGTGGATTTTCCTATATACTGAAGCAGCATTAGATGGGATTGTAATACTTTGGAGAGGTTTGCTCCAGCCAGGCGTTGGAAAAATACATAAAAAGTTAGAAATCTTGGTTAAATTATCTATTGATTGTTTTCAAACAAAGTTATAACAGTGTAATTGTCACTTCAACTGTACAATGGAAAACATTAAAAAGTGAGCAGAAGAAAGAGTTTTTACCCACAACTTACTGTTAACATTAGCTTACAGGTGTTAGCTACAGCATTAAAAGCTTTAAGGAACAATAAAAAAAATTTCTTAGATTTCTTATAGTTGTACACATGAACCATCCAGATTGAAGTCCCTACATTTACATATTAAGGGTTCGCAGATATGAGTAGCATAGCGTGAAGTGACTGGCTAGGATTAAGAACCCTATTCTCATTTATTTGGCACTTCAGTAGCACACCTGTCATAATTGTAAACTGTATGTATTCTCAATAAAAAATGGAGCCAGTGTGTGTGAGTGTGTGCCTTTACACCCACTTGTCTCAGTGATGCATTTCTCTGCACTGAGGGGCTCCCTCAGTCCATCTCCCCCAAAAGGAGTGGGTGTGGTTTCCTTCATGCTGTTCTCCTTAGCAACACCTCCAGGTGCTGTTGCCTTAGCAGTGACTCCTGGTCCTGTTGTCTGAGTCCCACTTGGGGGTGATGATGTTTTCTGCTCAGTTTTCTCTTCCTGCAGCCAAAAATAAACACACAGTTCGTAGGGGTCAGACAGAAACATGGGCATACAAAGTTTGAAAACTCATGGTGGCACATGGTGGCCAGTAGTGGCACAATGAATCAGCAGAACCACAAAAGCTAATTTTCTGTGAGCTGCTAACACATGTTTAACTGTGTTTAAGAGTGACCTTTTGTCCATTGGTCTGTCCATTTCCTGCCCCCACGTTGTCCACGGATCCAATCTTAGACTTAGCCTTAATGTTTAGCTTATGAGACTCAATCTTCACATCACCACCACCTGGGATTAAAAAAATAAGGAAAAATTAATATGATGCCATTTGGGTTTAATGGCAAGAAAAAGCACAAATGTTTTGGGATGGACCTGGCTTGTGTTTGATGTTGTCCTTGGAGCCACATTTGGATGTTACCTTGCTCACATCAACCTTCTTATTCAGGATCTGCACCTGGGGTGGAGTACATAAAAATCTTGTCTTTTTATATTCTACGTCATTCAGTACAATGCAACTTTCACTTCAGCGTCCACTCAAGGCCACTTTAGAAAATCGCTATCATTCATTATACTGCATCTGCCGCATTCATATAGAGGCATGACATTCCTGACAATGCAACAGAGTATGTGAAATTGACTCACAGCTTTTTTTTACCAATCATGCTTGATTTCCTGTTTTAACCTGTTTCATTATTTTAGAAGGTGCCTTTTTGTTTTGTTCTTCATCGCTCCGTTTGTGCAGATAAATCAGGACGAGCTGTAACTAGTCACACCATGACTGTAGAGTTGGCAGCTGGCACGATGACCTGCCTCACAACATGTGCTAAAATCAGTCAGATTCACATATAAGATGACAGACTGGAGAATGAGATGACCATAACTCTGCTGATAAAATTTTATTAATAACACAAACTGTCAAAACCTTTTGTTGGACCCGTAGCTTACCCTAATGTGAACGGATATTAAAGAATAGAAACAAATAGTTAAAATCCTTAAAAGTCAGTTTAAATATTCATAATGTCATCTTCCACTATAAAAACACATCAGTGATGTAAGTAAATACAGAAAATGTAAATGCTGGTGTTTTTTTTCCTGGATTTTGCCTTGATATCCTGTCTCTTTCCATTAAAATGAAACCACCATAAAAATTAGACAGTGTTTATGTCTTTTTTAAGTGAGCGAGCTCAAATAATTATTTTATCCACTGTAACATTTCATCACCAAATGAATTCATGCACATCTCCAAGACAATGCGACACAGTTTGTGCTTCATTCAGTGGTTCTACTAAGGTGCAGCAGCTTGCAGATGTAAAATGTAACCCCCAGCATAGAAACTGTATCACATCATGTATAAAACATGCTTTAACTAAAAGAAACAGTGAAAACATCCAGATGATTTTCAACCAACACTCTCAACATAACCTGCTCCCAACAGCTTTAGTTTTTAAATCTCTCACCTGGAGACTCAGTGCTGTTTAAAGGTTTGAGAGTAAAGACTAAAGATAAAAAAGGCTAGGCCTAGTCTATGTACAAACTTGATATGTCTGTGTATTGTGTTTTAGTAATGCTAAGTTGTATCTAAGAACCTATGTTTAATATTGATGCTCATGAGGGAAATGCGAAGACTTTAGATGCAGCTGAAAAATGTTAAACCCTCAAACTCTCACAGCAGAGGTCCAAAGAGCCTTCGGGGAATGCTGTTGGTCAGCAAGTGGTGATTTCATACCTGTTGATCTCTAATCTGAAAATAACCAGCTTCTTCGCAGTTCAAGTTCACAGCATAAGTTTCTATGGCAATATACTCCAGTAAGAAATGAATAATCTTCTTAGTATAGAAAACTCAGGATGAACGCTGAAGTTACCTTGATAAGATTAAATCCTGCTTCATAGTACAGGCCTCAGGGCACCATGTCGTCACCATGAGTCAACCACAAAGCTCTACATACCAAAGTATTCTAGAGTCAAACATGAGGCCTGCTACAGCTAATTCTTGGCCATATTGATTTAATGTAAAAGGACAATAATCCCAAGCAAACCAGCAAATCTATAACAGATCTTAAGAGAGCTGTGTACAGACAAATCCCAATAAACTTCCAAATGATTGTTTTAGTTGGTAAGCACTAGTAAGTAAAAATGACACAAAGTATACTTTCTTTTTACCATGACCTTTTAGTATGACTGCATGTCCCCACACTGAAAAAAAACCCCAGTTTATTTGAGCTGACAGAGCAAAGTGGTGGTTTTGAGGATAGACTACAGTATGTGAAAGATGGAAACAGTCACAGTGACTCTGGTTTTCATTCATCAGATTCGACAATCTGGCTGTTATACCCTGCTTTATCAACTGTTTTACTCTAAATTGAGAACATAATCTCATCAGTTAGCAGCAGGTTAATGTATTAATGGACTTCTGTACAATCAGACCTCTTTTTCGACTACAGGAGTTGCCCCCTGATGGCCATTAGAGGTTTAAAGGCTCTTCTACAGTGGCTTAACTTGGAGACTAAATTAATATTTTGTATATACTCTGTGGTTGTGCGAGATGGCGATAGTGAAGCAGGTTTTCAGACCAGCTAGAAACAAGTCCTGAAAGGGTAGGCATGAGCACCTGCGGTCAGTTCAATTACTGAACGTTAAACTAAACCAAGAGGCAAAACCGCAAAGTGCATTTTTGGAATTGAACCTTGTAAATATTTTTGTCAGTCTCAGATCTTATGGGTGCTCCTATTTACTAAATTTGTTTGAAGAGATCCAATCAGAGAACACCGGAGGACAGTACAATGTTTATAAGTCAGACTGATTCAATTTCTTACGATGAGATTATGAGATTATCTGGCAATTGTTTAAACAGGAACAGGAATATTGTTTTGCAAGAGCAATACTGTATGAATGTGTAAATAAGGACCCATTTCAATATGCATCCCCCAACGATGGACCTGATTTACATACCAAGAACATAAATTCCCATTTTATCTCTTTGTAACAAATACACCTGCTAGGTGAGTACAAGGCACAAGGGGCATTCCCAACTGATCAACCTTTTGAGCAAGATAGTCCAAATTAGGTTAAATTAGCATAAAATGTGAGAGTCTCCTTCCAGCTTCAGGAGTACTTACATTGCCACCTCCAGGGACATGTTTGATATTGTCCTTGGAGCCACAGCGAGAAGTGACGTGGCTGAAGTCCAGCTTTTTGTGCACTATCTGAACCTAAAGACAAGCAGGCAGACACACAGACAAGCAACATGAGGAAAGAAAAAAAGACAGAAAGAAAGAAAGAAAGCTGATCAGCTGGCAGGTTTAGTTGACAGGAAACAGAGTAGCCTTGTACTGTAAGTATGGAAGACTTTTTGCTATTCATTTTTTATAGAAGCTCATTGATGGTTTGCACATGAGACAGCAAAAATGCTTTTGGTACATTATGTGACAAACCATCAAAATGAGAATGTTAATGGGAAACATTCTTAGAAAGAATCAATGCAGATTCTTACAAAAATGAATGCATAATTAGCAAAAGATGAGAATACTGAGTGAATAACAACAGAGCGCTTCCATAAACAGCAATAGCTACAAAAAAAAGCATAAGACAAACACTCAAAGATGAGAGAGAGTACATGCAAGAGTGCCGTGGACAGTAATTTTGTGTTAACACATGCTGCTAAAAGCAAAGCAAAAAAGCAACCGCAAGTGACAGATTCAGAACAACAGAGGGCACAAGGTGGTTTTAAAAAGATTCAAAAATAGACTAGTTTGCAGAAAGACCTGTTGTTCTGTCTGAAGTGCTTTCAGCAGTACACTACAAGCTGGAAGAACATGTTATATGGTCAGCTTCTCTCCTTAGTATTTCAGCTTTGGCTACAAATGAGATACATAACTGAAATGTAAAAATCTCTGGCTCTCTTCCACAGCATTTCTTTTGTCCTGTCTTTCTTCTCTCACCCCAACTGGCTGCGGCAGATGGCGCCCCTCCCTGAGCCTGGTTCTGCCAGAGGCTTCTTCCTGTTAAAGGGGAGTTTCTCTTTCCCACTGTTGCCAAGTGCTTGCTCATAACAGGTTGTCTGATGTTAGAGTTTTCTCTGAATTATTGCAGTGTCTTTGCCATACACCATAGACATAGGTTTGAGGTATAAGTAGAAAACAATTATACTTATCCAATTTAAATCTGATGCCGTTTGCTTTTTGGGGGTTCATGAAACTTTAAGAAGTCCAGTCACTTTCCTTCCAAGCTCCTTAGACTACCATGACCTGGATGACTGAGAACCTACCTGATCGCTAACCTCAAACTGCAAAAGGAGGCTGTCCTAAAATTAATGTGTTGAAGGCATACCATACTGTGGGGCCAAAGAGCTCAGTGATCCGATTGATGTGACATTGAATCTTGAATCTCCCTCAGTAGATGGCCTGTGATCAACCAGTAAAGTTTGCTTCTACCTGTGGTAGTGCCATCCAGTGCTGACCGATACAGGGAAGGTTAAACAATTCAGAGTTAAGTAACCTGGATTCTCCCTGCCTCTTAGTGAGAAATCTAATAAGTCAGATCAGATTTGTACTGATTCCAGAAAGTGAACAGCATGACAAAGCCTGAATGATACCCTTTGCTTAGGATGGAGTATTGTGTAGAGTGGGCTTGCAGTGCACAATGAATAACTAAACTTGATCAGGCTGGTTAAAACTGAACCTTGCGGGTCTCTCTGGGTGTGAAGCCTATCTGGACACTCTGGGTTTATATTCTGAATTGGGGCTGAGTAATATGCTGCAGATAAAAGACATTTTTGAGCAAAGCAAACTTGACTCAACCTGCCAAAATGTGACTTTGGTCACTTCTAAACATGTTTTTTAACATGTTATAATTGATTTGTATCTTGTTCTGTTTAATCTGAACAAGCCCCTAAAAACAGGCCTCTCTCGGTTTTTATTACCACTGAACATTTTAAAGCTCAGTTTTTAAACCCTTGTGATGTAACTACAGCCCAGCCCATGCAGCAGTATATTAATGACTAACCTTGTTTTGTGGATGGATTATCTCAGTTGTTCTCCTGACTGAAGTTTGGTCCGTTTACAGCATCCTGCCATGCAGTTGCATTTGTCAGTGAAACTTCTGTCAGTGAAATGCATGTTTAAATTGTTGTTGTGTTTGCACTGTCTTGTATCTCTATCCCATGTAGCAAGTAGGTCTGGCCCGGATCTGGTATCAAGCTGGCACTGCTGGCTGACTTCTGGCATGGTAAGACATATGTCATCCAGATATGGGCCTGGCATAGATGGCACCATTTATGTGATGGCATGTCACATCTGGCCCGATTGTGGATTGGTTTATGTGGCCCAGGCTCATAGAAAACAGGTCTGGCCCGGATCCAGCATCAAGCTGGCACTTCTGACTGACTGGTGCATGTCAACCAGATGTGTGCCAGGTCTGGCATTGATGGCACTAGTTATGTTCCTATTTTCCTGTTTTAGTTAGAAGACCCAAATGCCATGTTGCAATACTATACTGCTATGGTAGCCAACGTTTCAAATGCAGGTTTGACAGGTTTGTGAGTGTAAACTTTATCCAAAACCTAGTGAGGGTTTACTCATGTTTACCATTGTGTGGCTGTAGCTCAGGAGGTAGAGCCGGTCACCTACTAATCGGAAGGGTAGTGGTAAGATCCCTGGCTCTTCCAGTCTGCATGCCAAGAGTATGAATGTAGTTAGGAAGCACTCAGTTTAGACAAAGTGTGTTAATGTGACATGTTGCATAGAGCACTTTCAGTAATCTGGGATAGTGAAAAGGGCTATATAAGAATCAATCCATTCATTGTCTGAACAGAGTTTCTTCATGTTACTTTTCCACTATTATATTCTGGCGCATGTTGTTATTACATGTCTTGATTAAGGTACATATTAGGCTGACATCTGGGGCCAGAGCTGAAACTGTTCTGGGCCAGCACAGGACCAACAGTGTGTCTGCTGCTGGTCCATGTGTGGGCCACATCTGGCAAACCAGATCTGGGCCACCAAAGGGCCATCATTCTTTGCGGTGTGTGGGCCAGATCCGATCCATACCAATTTTGCTATGTGGGATTGTTCTGTTCTGCCTGGTGTTGCACTGTTTTTTTGCACTCCCTGTGTTGACTGCCTGTTATATAAATCACCGTAATTTTGAAGGAACGCAGTCTAGTTTCACTGTGACTACCACTGCACATGGTTGAAATGACAATAAAGCCACTTGACTTGAAAAAATACCCTTCATAAATAAACTTTCATTTTTAATTACCTTTTAATAAGAATTAATCCAACTACTATCATTATGGCCGGAGCATGAAACGTGTAATCACTTCTAATGGCTTTTTGAGGCCTTTAACCTGCTTGAAAACTCATGAAATTTTGCCCTTTGAATTGAAGATGGCATTTCAGGAGATTATTCATGGTGTTATACTTTTGCCAACTCCTCCTTGTTTTTTTGTAGGACCAACTTCATATTTGGTTAGTCTCAACTACAAACCTGGGTCATAATGTGGAGTTTTTGAGTTTTCGTCAAAAAGCATGGCCGTGGCGACACAGCAAATTTCAATCATCTGTCACTTGCAGACAGCTGAGAAACTAAGGGGCTGCACCAAGGTCCAGTATATGATAAAGAAGGATTATTTTGAATTGTGAATCATTCAAAGCTACTCTAGTAAATTCCCAAAATAAAAATATAGAGCCAGAAATGGAAATAATAGGCTGCCCTTTGATGTCTTCATCTTTTTCACAGCCTAAGGACTGTGGACTGTGGACTTTGGACTCACTAGTGTGTCCAAAACTTTCTCAGGTAAAATAGTCAAAGCTTTTAAGATGTTGCAGATAAGCCACTTTGATGATGAAGAATCAAAAGCAGCCACCCTGTCCTGCTTCTATATAAGCTAACACCAACCTGTTTGTGTGATATCACTTTGATTGGCTCTGTCGCTGCATTGTAAAAAAGCCCTGCAGCAAGCCTAAGACGCCTTCCTCCATTCTCTCTGTCTCTGTCTTAGTGTTGCTTCTCCAGGATGAAAATGGCATGATGACGCAGGTGGCACCAGCAAAGGATGACTCACTGAGCAGTGAGTGCACATACACTTAATGCGTAAGCACGAACACACACAAACACACAGACAAAAAGCAGCAGACTCCTCAGTTTGTATTCCTCACAGATAGCACATCATAAATATCCTAATTGATTTCAAGCAGCTGCATGGTTCTCGTTCATCATGTCTCCTTAATTTCTAATGATTCTCATGCTATGCTAGATAAAGAAGCAGGATGATGAAAATATTTTAGTAAATTACCGCTAAAAAGTGGCAACCAAGTGACACTTATCCATGAGAGGAGACCACATTTCAAAGAATGCAACATCAATTTCAGCCAAAGATAATGCGTGAGATTAATTTGCATTTTGTATTTGTACACATATCATGTATTCTAGCTTTTGTAGCTAATGGTACACACTCTGTTATACTACCCATGTTCTGTATTCATTGCAGTGGATAAATCTTAGCACAAAGAGTAAGTGAATTTGTGTTCGGTTGATTATTTCTTTGTTTCTAACAGTGCTTCTTGGCAATAAATCTTATATCAATGGAAAGCCTGTTTATTTCCCATTAAATGGTGTCACATTTGTAAGAACAAAGCATTTGTGGGTAGAGCAGCAGTTGGGTTGTGTGTCACACCCATGAAAAACTTGACAAAGCCAGACAGCTTATTCTGCTATTGACTCTTGTTTGGTGTTGTTTATTGGATTGGGTGATTGAAGTCTGAAAAAACAAGACACACTGACAATTTATCAATTTAACAACCGGGGGGGGGGCTCAGTAGCATGTGGAAGAACCCCACACGGCTCTCTGGAGGTGTGATCTTGGACCGGTTCGCTCATAGGTTGGTGAGCGAACCGGTCCAAGATCGGGTAGCTTGGGTAGGCTGTTCATGCAAGAGTGACCAACGCAGCCACATTTGCCGATGAATGCATCTGACAGCAGTTGCTGCGTGCAAAAACTGTATTTCAGTGTTTGCTATTATCCATACACACACACACACACAATAGCAGCCCCCCTCGGGTAACTCTGAAAACGTTAGAGCACTTTTGCAAATATGTGATGTCTTGATAAATCGAGCAGGTATTTGAAGTTCACACAGCACCATTCTCACATGAAAATATCTTAAAAGTTTATTTTGTGACCCAGAAAGAGTATTATTTCAAACTCCGCCACTCTGTGTTCCTCCGCCGCTGCCTCGTTTCGAGCTGATTGGAGACCAAAACAGACAATCAGATTTTTTTTGCATCCAAGTCTGTGATTGGCTGGTTTTGTGGCACAAATATAACGATGTAGAGAAAGAGTTGAGCGCGCACGAGCAGAAATGTTGAGAGCGCGAGCAACACATTGCGAGCAAGCGCAAATGCAAAAACTGAGCGAGAGGGGCTGCTGTTGTGTGTGTGTGTGGATAATAGCAAACACTGAAATACAATTTTTGCACGCAGCAATGAATTTTGTTCACTCAAATTTAGCTTTTCTTTGCTCAAAGTAAATTTCTCCTCAAAATGCAACACTTGCACCTGCAATTGTTTTTATGTGCGCTCAGAATAGTGGCACAAAAATAACGCCATAAAATTGCACATTGCTTACCATTTGCATACAGATTCATCCTTTTTCTGTTGCCATTTCTCTTTTTTTTATCTCATTCTTGAACCTGAATAACCTCTTGGTTATTCAAGATTTGTTGTTAAAGCACCTACAAGCCTCTATATTAAGGCAATCCAAGTTAAGCCAAGAAATCATTGGGAATTTTAAACATTTTAAAATAGCATACCAAGTTCTTAGACTGCACTAGAATATTATAAACACACTGAATATACTGCATGAAAGAGTAAAGTCAGACACTACAAGACTCCCTTTGCACTGATCTGTTTACTCCAAGCAAATTTGAGATTTTAAAACTTTATATAACGCAGTAAGAGCCTGTCCAGAACTGAAATAATGACATAACATGATATTGTCCAATAATGATTTTAAACAATTACACTTATTAATCAAGGTACTGGTGTTAGAAATTAGCCTTAGAGTTGTTGTTTTTTATACTTGTCTCTTACAAATATACCATACAATGAAACCTGCTTTAGTATCAACAGACAGAATATGCAGGTGCATGTAGGAATGAACAGCAAGGTGGAGTGTTGTTCGAGATGTTGAGCAGGTGGTGCTTGTGATGAATGCATACAGAAGGGTGAATGTACTGGGGTGTGAAGGTGTCAATGGCAAGGACTCACTCTGGCCTTGGCAGCAGGGGTGGAGGGGTCTGATGTCTTGTTGTTCGGGGTGGAAGAGACCTGAGGAGACAACCAGCACCCCTGGTCAATACAACCTCCAACCAACCAAATGCTACACCACAACGAGGTGGACGACATGGGTGTGATCAAAAGAATGCAAATGCCTGGACCAATTGTGTGAGTGTAATGGATGTTAGAGCTACTTAAAAAAGAAGCCAAAGAACCAAATACATTAACCAAATGTGTGGGTGTATGAATAATATTATATAATTGATAGTAGTGGCACCGGTTAAATGTTAGAATTTATTTTTGGGACAATTTAGCATGAAGATCAGGAGTATTGTGCATTCAGATGGTAGAAAACTGGAACAGATGGAGCCTTTTTAAAACATGACATTAGTACAAATGTAGTAACATTTTTCTTTTGTGACAAAAGCTAATCAAATACCATCACAAAAAAAGAGTGTCGGCTTATTTATACAGTCTGAAAACAACAAATCAAATGTCACATTTCTGGAGTGTACCACTGCTCACATAAACAGCACTGATATTATTGCTAAATACTGAGGTGGGAAAGGCTATTAGTCACATAAACTCCTCCTGAATAGAAAATGTAAACATAAGCAATTTAGTATCACAAAAGACTGAATGAGTCAGTGCCAGTAATTATGATGCAGGGCGCCGATGTGTTTGTGTAAAGAAACTTTCAAAGAGTAAAAGCGTGTTTTGAAAAGCAGGGAAGATGCTCCTGTGAAACACAATGCCTGAAAGAGTGAATGGAGCGGTTAAGTACAGTTCATAGCAATATTTTCCCTTCCGACTGCTCTTTTGTTACACACAGAAAAGTACAAGGTCAGGGCAATTTCACAGAACTATTTGCACAGAAAGCAACAGCTCCTTTTCTACAGTAATCTAACTTTAATTGGCCATACAATCATGACTAAACGCTACAGGTTGTGGAAGTTAAGCGTTGCTGAAAAGGTGCATGGATTGTTTTCCCCTGAATGGGAGTAGTGGTGACGTCTATGCTGGATACAACAACACCCAACCAAACACTGCAGTATGACCAGGCAGGAGAAAGTAATGGATGTGAAAGGAAGATATTAACATAAATATTTGTTAATCATTGTGCACCTATTTTGGTGCACAGAAAGACACTTTGTATCTGCAATTTCAGAAAAGGTCAATACAGACACATGGAAATGAAACCGATGTAGTTAGTGCAAAAGAACGCAAATTAACTTTGACTATCTAGAAAAACACAAAAACATACAAACAAGTGGACAAAATGTCAACAAGTGTATGAGGAATGCAGCTGTTAGTTGTGAGAGCATTTAAATATAATTCAACATTTTGCAAAGTAGACGTTCTTGATCAGCCTCGATTATCTGAATGATCAACATAAAGCTTGAACCCATTAGCTTAGTTATTAGCATTCAACCCTACCAGAACCTCTGAAGCTCAAGAATAAACATATTTTATTCTGATTTCATTGTGTGTGCACGTATGTAAATTTGCCTGACTGTATTTTGCTACTCTTTAGCTAACACTACGACGGACGTAGCTAGTGTGACATCAACCATTTTCATGGCTGCAAAACAAAAGACGATGCCACCAGGAGCTGTAGGTGCGAAACACTCATTTGTTAATGACAAGTTATTAGCCAATTAGCTTGTGATTTTATAATAGACATAATTCTCGATTTTGAATCATGATATGACCAAGTTTTATAAAAATGACTTAATTTTTTATTCAGTATGAACCAAAACAAGTGAACGAGCCTATTAACCTGTAAACAGACAGCAAATCACTGTCCGCTGGCCCTCAGATAGAGAGCACTTTACATACACAGCGTGAGGCACTTCCCCATTAGCTTTTTTTGTTTTTTTCATATTTGGAAGCCACGTCCATGTTTTCTACTATCTGTGCATAAACAGAAAACATTCACTGCTTAAAGTAAAAAAAGACATATTAGCCATTTCCCTGCTTCTGTTTTCCAAGCCTATCCAATTGATTTCCAGCTCGAGCTTTAGTAAGCTCAAAACGTCTGAGAGAGACGTCAAACTTCTCAATAACTCCCAACAAGAAAGAAAAAAATCCCTGCACTTTTTCCAAAATGGCTACTTTCTCAGCACAATATTGTTCTGAGGCAAAACCACTCTCTGACGGACAATAGAGAAGATATAATGGATAGAGTGGACACATTATTTCACATGGCAGGGCAGACAGAGAGAGGATGATGCCTGTGATTGAAAGCGACGGCACACCCCTTCCTCTAGACACACTGTCACATAACATTGAAGGAAGATGGACAACACAGTCATGTCTCTGATCCATGTCATGACATGCTGGGCAACTTTAGGGTGGTGGAATACAGGTAGCATGCATGCTTCCTGTTCTGTATGTCATTCTGAGATAGAACATCATCTGTCAGAACATTTGCATTGCAGCAAGATGCTGTTAAAAATTGGATATTTCAGAAAGAGGAATATGTTAAAAGATTGATGTTAGATGGACGCTGGAAAACGAATATAGAGTTGTAAAGTTGCTATTTTCTCAGTTAACATGTACACGCCCTTTAAAATGCCCACAGTGCAGAAGTGACATGTTTCTGAGTTATTGTTATTTCAAATGGTGTCAAATTATATACACTCAGTAGCTCATGTGAGGATTGCTTTTCTCTCTTACTCTCTTCTCGTTTGGCTCTCAGCGAAGGCGGTCGCACTTTTCTCCTCTCCTCTCCCTTATCTTCCCTGCTTAGCTTCTTATGTCCTTGTCTTGTCTCGTGCTTTTTTCACTTTCCTGGAACACTCTCTCACAGTCTGTTTCTAAAACCTAAAGAGAATTATGGATTTGATCACCTGGTCTCTGAATGCTATTGACACCCTTTTCTCAACGAGAAGTCTGGGCTCGGGAGAGCCCGAGTGCCCTTGAGGGACTTTCCCTGCCGGATACACGATGGACGGGTGGCAGACATGTAGGATCGTGTGCCTGGCGGGACTGTCGATCGCGGACGCTGAAGATATCTACCTATTCGGAACCATGATAACAGGGTTCTTGCTGATCAGAGCTGGCTTGGCCCTGGCTTATCGGAGAATTAAGAAAGCGGAACCGGCTGTTCAAACCCCCCAAGGCTGCCCGCTGGGATTGAAACGATGGGACGAGGTGTGGCTTCTCAGAAAGGGCTCACTGAAGGCAGCATGGTTAAGAGCTTGGAGGCGCTAACGGCTGCAGTGAAGGCTCAGAATAACACCTCTGAGCGTATATTGGATTACATCAGGGAAGAATCCACTCGGAACAACACCTCTGGATTACACGCGGGTCGTGAGGTCTCAGAATCTGCTCTGTGAGCAAAAGACTGAAAAGACCACAGAATTGAAGGTAAAAAACATCACGGAGAAACTCACAGCACCTGGAGAAGAGAGACACGTATGTGAGAATGCTGTTTGTAGATTACAGCTCAGCATTCAATACCATCGTTCCCTCGAAGCTGGACAGGAAACTGCAGGATCTAGGACTGAGCAGCTCCCTCTGCAGCTGGATCCTTAGCTTCCTGTCTGACAGACGCCAAGTGGTCAGACTGGGCAGCATCACCTCATTCCCCCGTCACACTGAACACTGGTGCTCCACAGGGGTGTGTACTGAGCCCTCTCCTATACTCACTCTACACCTACGACTGCACAGCCACTAACAGCTCCAACATCATTGTGAAGTTTGCGGACGACACTACAGTGGTGGGTCTTATCACCAACGGTGATGAGACAGCCTACAGGGAGGAGGTCAGCGCCCTGACCCACTGGTGTCAAGACAACCATCTCACCCTCAACGTCGCAAAGACAAAGGAGTTGATAGTGGACTTCCGGAGGTGCAGAGAAGTACACACCCCCATCACCATCAACGGCGCTGCTGTGGAGAGAGTGAGCAGCTTCCGGTTCCTTGGCGTACACCTGGCTGAGGATCTTACGTGGTCAGTACACACAAACAAAACAGTGAAGAAGGCGCAGCAGCGCCTCTTCTTTCTCAGGAGACTGAAAAGATTCGGCATGAGCCCCCGCATCCTCAGGACCTTCTATCACTGTGCCATTGAGAGCATCCTCACTGGATGCATCACCACCTGGTACGGCAACAGCACCGCCTACAACTGCAAAGCTCTCCAGCTCTACACACACGTAGAAAAATATTTAGTATACACATCCAGAAATGCATATACTATTATATATTGTACATATATTTATTAGTTTCAGATGTAGCCATTCTTGTATTTTGCTTGTTTACATTATTGTATTTTGCACAACTCTGTTGCTTGTGAAGCTCGCACACAAGAATTTCACTCACATGTGCTGTACCAATGTACCTGCACATGTGATGTGACAATAAAAGTGATGTGTTTTGATTTGATTTGAGTAGAGGTCTCTTTTTTTCCTCTCGTACTTTCCCACTGTAGTATACATTTCAGTGTTTTTCTGTAACGCTACCGATGTCCGACTTGTATCCCCATGTAATGTCTGTGTTGTGTGTGTAAGGTCGGGGGCGTGTGTGTGTGTGTGTGTGTGTGTGTGTGTCCCATTTCACTGCAGGGCAACCTGCATGTGGCGAATAAAGCTTTAATTGATTGATTGATTACTAGTGTTCTTCTCTACTGTAGGTCTAACCATAGCTTCACCGTGCCAACGACACTGCTGTACGGCACTGCAAATATAACTGAATCCAGTGTATTCCGCAGAGTCAGAGCATGTAGTCATCTGATCGTTTCTGCACTCCAGGCACTGACATTGTTTGTACAGAATTATGAGGATCCAGGAACACATTTACAATGTTTCAGGAAATCAACTTCTACTGCGAGAAAGATTTGCAGTGCTGTTCTGAGAGTTTGTACCAGGACCTATTATACAGTTAAGTTTAAGGTAAAACACTTGAAATACTTTGAATTCAGCATTTTTCAACACTACTTTTATCTATTTAAAAAATGTTATCTGTTTCAGAATGACCAGGAATTAAAAAGAAAAACTGTAAATTAGCTATGAAATATGCAGAGGTTAAATTAAATATATTCTGACATCCAATCTCAATCCCAGAGTAAAGGAATTAATTCATGTTATTATGCTGTATAACACACATGCGCTATTTAAAGTACAAACCACCCATCGCCAAATCATTCGCTGTTACAAGAAAAGCATTCATTCATGAATCTTGACAGGTACATCACTGTCCTGAATTATTCATAGTACTCTCTTGTGCTGTCTCTTTGTCTTACCTTTCCTCCACCAGGCTGGTACTTGATGTTGTCAGTAGAACCAATCTTGGAACGGACGTTCTTTAGATCTGGTGTCGGAGCATTGATGGGTCGGGGGGTGCGGGGAGCACGGGGAACAGCTGGTTTCTTATCCAGGGGAGTCTGCTTGGGCACAGGGGGTTTGGTGATGACCCGACGGCGGTGAGTGGCACTGGATTCTCCATTGGTGGAAGCAGCCGGGGTAGCAGGAGCGGCGGTTGAGGCTGGGCGAGGACGGGCTACAGAGAAACAAAAATTATAATAAGTATAATTTATATATCACTATAATAGTATAATAATTTATATTCTAGTATAATATAGTAAAATTTGTGAAAATGTAAAAGCCTACCACTATGTCATTTACTTTTAATGAAAGTATGCATTGTTTTTCCTTCCCACTGTCGCCAAGTACTTGCTCACAGGGGTTTGTCTGATTGTTGGGGTTTTCTCTCTATTACATTTAATGCTTATACAATAAAATATGTCGCTTAATTATTTAATCTAACATACTTATTGCTCTATATTACCCCAGTTCTATCAGTGTTGTGACACTTCTGCCAGTGTTTGAATAAAATCATGGGGGACAAAATTTTCGGGCTGCATCTGAAATTTTGGTGGTAACCTTCTCCCACGTTTGGGCCCAGAATTTTGTGTTACCATGCTGGTCCCTGCTTTGATAAAATACCTCAAAGTGGTCCTGAAGTGGATACAGGGACCTGACTGGTAGAAGAAGTACTGGAAATACCCAAGGAGCTTTTGTCGTCATGGATGTCTGTGAAACTAACTTACAACTGCATGAAAACATGTGTATTGTGTTGTTTGTGTATTAAGTATTTTATGTTTCTTACGTGTAGTCTTGGGTTTCTTGGCCTCACTGGTCTTGTTCTCAGTTTTGTCGTTCTTGTTGGCTGTAAGTGGAAAACAGAAAACAGGTTTTTCACCATAATTTTTAGGCAGCAATACAAAAAAAATAATGAGGCATTTCCAGCCTCAGGTGGTGCCCCTCTAGCCGTTCCAAAAATAGGCTTAAGGTTGCTAGGAGTTAGGGTACTTATTTTAATGCTCCAGAAAGAAGAGGAAAAAAAGGAATATAGAATATATATTAGGTTAAGTAAAAAAGAGTGGAAAGGTGAGCATAAAGGAGTGTATATATATATATATATATATATATATACACACCTACAGCTTTCATGCTCACCTTTAAGTTTTTTATATATATATATATATTACTATATATATATTATATATATATATATATACATATATATATATATATATATATATATATATTAGGGGTGCAACGATACTCGTATCGATATTGACATTCGATACAGTGCTTTCGGTTCGGTACGCATATGTATCGAACAATACAAAATTTTAAATTTATTTTATCAACTTTTCTTCTGACGATGCTGTCTGTGTTGAGAGCTCAGTGGATCTGCGTTCGACTGCTCCGCCTGTCGAGCACTAAGGCCAGCGCAAGCTAGCGAGACAGAAGCTAAGCTCGTTGCAACATGGCAAATTGAACCTCCCCCACCCTCATTCATACGGAGCCCCGCAGGGGACATGGGAGGAAAAAAAATTAAGACGGACTCGCAAAACTAACTCGGGATCTCGCAAAACTTTTGCGAGATCTCGCAAAAGTTGAATTCCAACAAGCAGCTACTTAGTTGTAATATTACTCTTTCTGGGTCACAAAATACACTTTTAAGATATTTTGAGGCGTGAATGTAGTTGTGTAAACGTCAGATACCTGCTCGGTTTACAAGACATCACATATTTGCAAAAGTGCTCCGACGTTTTTGGAGATCTGACACCCACTAGCTCGAAGCTAACGGGAGGTCGAGACCTACTACAGCCGGGAGGAACACCGCTTTCCCGGCACATCGTGCCTCGACCTCCCGGTCGGCTTCGAGCTGGCGGCCTCTGAAGAATGCGGCTAAAACTTTTGCGAGATCCCGAGTTTGTTTTGCGAGATCTCGCAAAAGTCCGTCTTAATTTTTTTTTCTCCCATATCCCCTGCGGGGCTCCGTACATTCAGATCTGGCCTTTGGAACTATTTTGGTCTTCATGTGAAGTATGACCCTGAAGGTAAGCGCGTCATGGACAAATAAACAGTATGTCGGATGTGCCACGCAATGCTCAATTACATGGGTGGGAACTAGTGCGTTAGCGCAGTTTGCTCGTTAACGTGTTGATGCCGTCCAGCCCCACGCACGGGGCGATCCGCGGTAGCTCGTTAACGAAGATTTGCCGTGTTGTGGCGTTAACGTCATTTCAGATTAACGCTGACAGCACTAGTGGGAACACAACGAATATGACTGCACATTTACGCCGACATCATCCTAGTGCAAAGACAAGTGGAAGCAGACAAAAACAACAAGCACGCATGCTACAAACTTTACCCGAGTCATTTAGACAGCCGTTAGCACAGTGATTCTCCTTATGGGGACCTGATATGTTTAATATGCTGCTGAGAATATAGCCCAGAAGAAGCGTATAGTATAGCTTTTATTTTGGAAAGAGCCATTTCTCTGTAATAAACTCTCTTTTCCAAAGATGAGTGATTTCTCGATCAGATAGATTTATTTTTTTTATTATTTTGTTGTTTCAGCAACATTAAATTTAAAAACTGTACTTTTGAGTGACAATATATATTTATAATTTTAATAAATGACAAATTAAAAAGGCATTAACATTTTTTTGTATCAAAAAAATATCGAACCGTGACACCAAAGTATCAAACCGAACCGTGAATTTTGTGTATTGCTGCACCCCTAATATATATATATATATAACACCCTGTTGAATAGGACACTTCTTTTCACATTAAATTATAGTAATGATCCAATAATATGACAGACAACATTAATGACTAACTTGAGCTGAGACTTCAATATTCAGCATCTCATGAGTTATTTGTTTATTCTCAAGTCTGTGGACACCAAATCGAAGCTATAAAGAGAGTGAAGAATAGACATGTACATTCACTGCTGTTGTCACCTCCTGTCTAGCTGATGTTACAGAAAACTGTTAACCGTACTAACACACGGTAAATTTAGAAGTGCTAAATCACGGCTCTGCCATTCTTACCTTGCTGTAGAGTTGTTTTCTTACTTGTTATTTCCGAAAGACAAGAAAACTTGGATGAACTTGTCACATTTTTTTTTGTGTCGTTTGGTTTTGGTTACTTTTGGGATTAGTTTTGATCATTTTAGTTTATTTTGTAGTATTTCAAATATTTATATTTACATGCAATATTTAGGCAAAGTAAAATACATTTAGAATAGATATGATTATACAGACCCGACAACCAAATCAGCTGACTTACAGACTGATCAAATAATCAAAGACTAAAACTAAAAATGTTTTGTCAATATTGTGTTTAATTAAGCTTTGTGAGTGCAGACTATTGTTTATCACTATATTATATGTTTCTATATGATGTAGTTTGAATTTATCACACCTACTTTTAGGTTTTATTGGCAAGGATGTGATTATTTAACTGATATGTTCTGCCCATAGATATTTATTTTTCTACAATATTGCAGAGCTGACTGTTTAAAGGCAAAATCAGACAGAAACTCAACAATTTCTGGTGACATGAAGTTTGTTAACTGCATAACATGAGTTTCCAGTAACAGTATGTACAGTTTTTGATAAAGCCACAGTATGTAATACTGCTGTGATGTGACAGAAACATCATGGACTTGGACATAACTGTTGACACTGGGGCAAAAGTCTCAAAGAGTAATGGAGCACTCATGCAGCTAAAATGAAACATAAACCCTGCAGCACATAACACCTATTGCCGTGAACTGGGTGACTGAATCATATTGTGTGAGGGTACACACAAAAAGCTCATATCTCCCTTGCTCTGAGAGGTGAGATACTGTTTGTCATGTGCAGACAAAAATACCAGTTGGGCTCTTCAAAAGCCAGCACTTGAATCTGATTAAGTCTAACATATGGTAGCAATTCAGTTAGCCTGTTGATGCAGCCTGGAGCAGCGCCAGTGTGCAATGCAAGTCACTGTTCGAGCTAGAGCAGCGAGTGAAGTTTCCTGTTGCAGAGAATATGTTGAGATACTGTAAGGAACGGCAGATTCTATTGTCCACTTTCTGCTGTGACAAAACAAATTTCCCACGTGTGGGACTAATAAAGGTGATCTTATCTTATCTTATCTTATCTTATTTCATATCATGCAAACCGGTACAGTCAGATATGCTGCAGGTGCAGCAAAGGAACTGATGCTGCACTGTATCCTCGTACCTGCAGTCTTGCCTGCAGCAGTTGCAGAGGAGCCATTCTTACTGGCAGTTGTACGGGGAGCGGGCGTGGCCTTTGGCACAGGTGGACGTTTTTCCCCATTTTCTGGAGTCTGAAGAAAAACCAAAGAAGAGATAAACAGCTGTGTTCCTGAATTTTACGTGTATGACTTTGTGTATGACTGCTGTGTGCATAAGGAGTGTTTTCCAGGCTTTTATAGTGCAGCCAAATGCAAGTAGAAAATGAAAGTGACAAGAGAAAAGAGGAGGCTAAGGTTTTAACATTGGGAGATTAAAAAGGACATTTGCGACAGATGGTGGCTGATATCTGGAACCACATGGAACAATCAGGGCTTTTAAAATGATAGTAGGCAAAAGATTTGTATGAAAACGCTCTCAATCAGTGGAAGACCTGTGTCATCCAAGCATGGCCAACAAGAGGACATTATTAATAGCATGACCACAGGATTATACAGTATGTTTAATTTCAGAGTCCATAATCCAGGGATCTTCAACTCCAGTCCTCGAGAGCTACTGTCCTGCAGCTTTTAGATGCATCCCTACTCCAACACAGCTGAATCAGGCTGTGTCCCAATTAAGAGACTGCACGCTTTAAGTACGAGCACTACGCGTACTACGTACGGTGCATACTATAAGTACGAGAAGTGCAGAAGAGAGAGGCCTGTGAAATGGGACGGTCTAGCCTTCGTCACGCTGTTCAGGTTGCCTAGCAACCATGATACTAACCGCGAGAAACGTTACATACAGCTTTGTGTGACAGAAATGAAGGAGAAAAATGTTTTGTTGGTCATTCATTTTTGTCATGACATCACTTTGATTAGTTGAGTATCTGAGGCTGAGACCACAGGACTGTAAAACATGATTGTTGGGCTTCATTTCTGTGCTGAACAGTCATTTAAGATTAGTTAGTAAATAACAATTAGCTAATGTTGTTCATGAGACTAAATCATCTCACTGTGGTAATGTAAATATAATATGGCCAATATTATAGTATTGTCAGATTATTATGATATATATATATACATATATATATATATAAAAATATGATACTAAATATACTGTCAGTGAGCTTGAATAAAGATTCAAGTTGCAGTTTATAATTTTCCTATCACCTTAAATCTTCACTCAAAGCACAAGTATCTTGTGACAGTGTATATACTAGATGTATTATACATAAGAGACAAATATTGTTCTTTAATATGTTGGCATTACTACAATTTGGCTCAATGCTTACATATATGTGTAAAAAGAAAATGTACAGCTGTGATAACTGTTTCTGATAGAATGAAGAGTAGACTGATATATGAAATATTCCTTTATTGGGTGAGAAAATCAGACCATGTCATAACTGCTTTAAGTCAACAGAATAGATATCAGAGCCTTAAACAGGCTGACTTCTGCTAAATGGGTCAAACTGGGCAGAAAGTCTACAAACACATAACATCCTTATAGAATATGATGTAACACTATAGATCAACTTAGCTCAGAATATATAAAGCATATAAACAATTACAGCAATATGATGCAACAAACACAGCAGTGCTACTGATCCAAAATACTCAAAGCTTCATAGAACTGAAACAAACATTTATTTTTAGCTCCATTCTGCTGCTGATACATACTTTAGGTTTCTGAATCATTAAACTTGTTGCTGCCTTTCATAGTGTGTAACTTGAAGGCCCTGAGTACTTTCTCCCACACTGAAAACACTGGGATGATAACATTATTTGAACATTACCTAATAAGACTGATTCAGGACAGACAATTAGTTATGTTAAACTTTCCTAGCAGTCCTTCACAAACAGGGAACAGTCTGTCTATTCTCTCCATCTGTCAGCTGCTGCTGGCTCTTCCTCCTCCTCTTCCTCACACACTGCTGAGTTTGTCCTGGTGGATCATCAGGGCTGCAAAGCCTCACAGATGATGTGCAGCAGTGGGTCCCTCAGTCTGTCCTCACTCTGGACACTTGCAGTTGTCACACATGGAAATCAAATGTGTGATAAGCTGCAGGATTCAAACACAAGTGTAACTTATAAACACATGTTCATACTTTTATTCCACAATCAGAGAGAAAGAAACAGAGAGAGAGTGCAGGACAGACAGACAGGTGACAGTCTCAGCTGTATACACTGCTACAAACAGGAGGATTTAGTGTTTGTGTTATTACGAGTGTAAACAAGAAGAGTTCCCAGATGGTACAGTGGACACATGTGTGACTCTGTGATTAAAGCATCTTTCTTTCAGCTTAACGAGTGAACCGTCAGCTCGTTCAAACACACGTTAAAGTCCGTTTGGCTCGACACCACCGAACAGAGGCAGCAATATAACATAGCTAACATTAACAGTGCAGTGAATCCTGCTTGTGCCGTGATATTCAGGACTGCAAACCGAGCAGCATCACTGACTTTCAGCTTGTTGTGTTTGTGGATATATGACTGACTTTAATTATCCAAAAATCATCACATTCTCTGTAAGATTAAGGTCAACTATATATATATTTTTAATTATATAAAATCATCACATTCTCTGTAAGATATATATAATATATATATATATTTAAGTAGAGGCTTTAAAACCAAGTTAACGCTGAAAGTACAAACATCACTAATGTCACATAACTTTGCCAACATGTGGTCAACAGAAATGTTTTAATGTTCTTTGTTATTAAACATTCGCACATAAGTAAGTGACATCATATTCAGTACTTACTTTTGACAGTTCACTCTTCTTCTGCCGTCTGCCGTATTTTTCGGTAAAATTATCCACACCCACCGCTGCGCTATGAATTGTGGGATATATGGGACCACGAAGTGTGCACCGGACTGTCGCTACCATTGACTGTAGCTACCCGATCCATACCGGAAACCCGATCAGTACCCCACATGCGCAAATCTTAGGTCACTTCCTCTCATATTGAATGATACGGTTAGCGCCCAGTTAGCACCTAGTATTTCTCAACAGCTCTGCCTCCTTTTCGACTACCGGGACATTTAAACAATAGATAATCCGTATACAAACAAATGCATGCTTGTCTCCTCAACACAGAGCGTTCCCCGATTGAACAACAGCGCCGTAAAACAAGAAAAATGGCGCCTAATTAATAATACAGACTTTGTAATATGTCACGTGAAGATTCATCAGTCAGATGAAGTGTTCACTGACCATTGACAGTGATAGCGGACATCATCATCACTATTCCAATCAACCCTCTCCACACAGACAAGCATAAACACACTCGACTATCACTAAATCAAATTTAACACACGTTTGTAATGACGCTAATTCAGTTTACAATAGGGCTCATTCGCTCGGTCAGCAGGTGGCAGTATCCTCGTACACTGAGGAATAAACTGCCATTAAATGAACAGAAGAAGAAGAAAACATCTGCGCATGCGCGGTACGGATCGGGTAGACCAGATTTGTACAGTCCGACTTTGCACATGCGCAGTAAGGATCGGGAGTCCTGATCCGTAACTATCTTTTTATTTTTCGTTTTTGTCTACATTATATTGAAATGTTTCATTATTGGAAACATTTTAAGAGATTATTATTCTTAACATCTTAACAGATACTCTGACCCATAACTATCGTAAAATGCTTCAACCGGAAGTAGACACCTTTTGCGCATGCTGGGTATCAATCGGGTTTCTGGTACAGATCGGGTAGTGACACGGACCACGCTTGATATTTGGGGAAATCGACGGCGCATTTGGAGTACACTTTGAATTGGGACAGCCGTCGTCGCGTGGCGGTGACGTAATCGCACTCAAAATGCATACTTCAAGCGTGCGGTCTCTGAATTGGGACACAGCCTCAGATGGCTGAATTACCTCTTCAGTGTGCCATCAAGGGTGGCAAAGGCCTGGTAACAAGCCATTAATCTGACTCAGGTGTGTTGGAACAAGGATAGATCTAAAAGCTGCAGGACAGTAGCTCTCGAGGACTGGAGTTGGAGGCCCCTGCCATAATCTAATGGGCAGTGGTGGTTACATCGATCTTTCATGTATGGGTGAAATATATATTTTAAAATGTGAAATGGCATGTAAGGATCCTATTTTATAACTCTGAAATACATATCTAGATATTAATGTAGACTGAGAGTCATCCAGTCGTTACCAAATAAAGACATAGCTTGCACTGAAGAAATACGTGTAACCTTGTGTCTTATACTTACCTTGGCAGCCTTAGCAGAGCTAGTTGCTGTTGGCGGCCGCTTGGCAGCAGTAGGTGTAGTTGCCTTGGGTACAGGGCTTTTTTTATTGGCTGAAGCAGTGGTGGGGGAGGGGCGTTTGGCCGAGTTGGCCTCGCCATTTGTGGAGAGAGTGGATGGGCGTGATTTGGCAGAATCTGGTTTGGTGGAACCTGCATTAGGCTGGTGATTATGAAATTAAAGAAGCCAAAATAATAGTAAAAAAAGGAGGACAGCGCAGAAAAGTAAGGAAGAAAAAGAAAGACAGATAGAAAAAGAAAAAGCTGCAGTGAACTCAGCAATGACTGCAATGACAGCGTGATATAGCAGCCCAGCCAGCAACCATAGATAATCATAAAACAGGCCATAAATTATAAAACCGACTAAGCAATTTATAACCAGCTTAGAAAGGTCATGATTACTAAATAATGAAATTACAGGCCTCAAATGAGATAAAATGAGCAGTAGCCCACAGCTGCATGTAATATGGAAATTCAATGTCAGACACTGGACAGATTCACAAACACGTCAGCTAGCATGCAGTTAGTAGACAGTGAGTTTCATTTGTGTAAGCTTATGATGTAGAAAGTTGTATGAAAACTCTCTGGCCTCGTGGCTTTAACGTAAACAGTTAGCTTAAATGCTACCTACTGGGAACATGTCAGTATGAAAGCGGTTTATTTGCCAGTTGGTCACTAAAGTTCTTTGGGTTTTTCTCTTTACTCCTAAATTTATACTCATTTACTCCAAAGGTGATAGTCTATTATGTATATAATTCTGTTCTGTATGTATACACCTGTTTCATTAACAGTAAAGCAGCTAAAACCGATTAATGAAACAGGTTCAATAGAGGGGAAACAATGAGACAACCTGAGGCAATACAAATGGTTTTACAGGTCAAGATATTTTTCGTCAAGAACATTTTTTTTGTCACTACTAGCCTCAGTGTAACTATTACTAGTATGAGACAATAACTGGACCCTACCGAGGTAGCACAGAATATCCAACTCCACCAGAATGGCACATCAATACATGCCAGTGCCAGAGGTTTACTGTGTCTAAAGAGCATAGAGGAGATTCCAGGAAACAGGCAGTTACTCTAGGAGAGCTGAAAAGGGTTGGTTCTTAAGCCATCATCAAAACCGGTATTTGATCCTTTGTCTAAGGAGGAATAGGACGAGCACTGCCAGAACTACAAAATGACCCCCAGGAGGCCACAGGTGTGAATGTTTCTGACCAAACAATCAGAAATACACTGGATGGCTCAAGGGCCTGACATCCTCTAGTGGGCTGTATTACTGTTTGTCCATCCATCTATCCATCTTCATCCGCTTATCCAGAGCCGGGTCGCAAGGGTAGCAGCCTAAGCAGAGAAGCCCAGACCTCTCTCTCCCCAGCCACCTCCTCCAGCTTGTCCAGGGGAACACCAAGTCCACCAGAGAGATATAATCTCTCAAGCGTGTCCTGGGTCCCAGTGGGTCATACCCAGAACACCTCACCCAGGAGGCATCCTTGTCAGATGCCCGAACCACCTCAACTGGCTCCTTTCGATGTGGAGGAGCAGTGGCTCTACTCTGAGACTCTCCCGGATGGCTGAACTTCTCACCCTATCTCTAAGGGAGAGATATTGCTGTCTGTAATATTCTTCAACATGTTGCTCAACATCAGTTTGGTGGTGGGTCAGTGATGCTCTGGGAAGGCATATCCATTAAGACAGGCACAGACCTCTACAGGCTGGGAAACAGCACCCTGGCAGCCATTAAGTATCTGGATGAAATCCTTGGACCCACTGCTGGTGAAGTGGGTCCTGGGTTCCTCCTGATGGACGACAATGCCAGGCCTCAAGTGGTAAGAGTATGCAAGCAGGAGAATTTATCCTGGAGAATAAAGGATGATTGACCCCAACGCTCACCTGACGTGAATCCAACAGAACACCTCTGGGACATTAGGTTTCAGTCCCTTTGACACCGCCAGGTTACACCTCAGACTGTCCAGAAGCACAGTGATGCCCTGGCCCTGATCTGGGAGGAGATCCCCCAGGATACCATCTCACTGGCAGCATGCACACAAGCACACGGGGGACATGCATACTACTGAGTACCATTTTGAGTTGCAGTGAAATTTCACACACATATTATATATATATGCATATATATATGTGTGTGTGTGTGTGTGAAATTGCAACTCAAAATGGTTGTAATTGTGTGTGTGTGTGTGTGTGTGTGTGTGTGTGTGTGTGTGTGTGTGTGTGTGTGTGTGTGTGTGTGTGTGTGTG